ATATATATATATATATTTCAATAAATACATAAATCTTGTTTATTTATTAAGTGTATATTATTTATCAAACAATATGATATATAAATGTAATATTCTATTATATACAATTTATTTATATCAATAATTTAAATAATACATAGATATTAAATAATTTTATAGAATATATATGTATTTTATTTTATTAAATAAATCTAAGTACAATATGAATAAAATCACAAATACACATTTATCATAATTCATATTAAATACAAAGTCATATTTTAATTCTTAAGTTTCTATATGTGAAATTTTTTTATACAATTTATTTGCAAATTTTTTGATTCATTAAATTATGATTCATTTAAATATGAAATCATAATATTGTCAGATTTTAGGTATTGAATTACAATATAAATTAGTATAATATTAAACATTTATAATTTGACATTTATATTCATTATTTAACAAAAAATAATTGCATTGTAATTATTTGTTCATGTAATTATTTTTATATTTTACTTTTGTACTATTATTTTGAATTATATTGAATTGAATAAATTGAATATTTCAATATTATTAAAAGAAAAACTCTAGAATTAATAATAATTAAGTAATATTTTATATTATATTTTAAATATTTTCAATCTTTAAAAACAATGAATTGAATGAATTCAGACATTAATATTTAAACTTTAAAAAAAATATTATAGAGATCATATTATTATTTATTATATTGATTGCAATAATAATATAATAATTTTTATCATATATGTACAATGATTAAATAAATTTGTTTTAAGTATTTTAATAATATTAATTTCTTATTTTGGAATACAATAACTTATACTGAACATATTTCAAAATGTCTATTATAATATGATGTCTATAATTAAAAATAATTAAAAAAACAGATAATTCTCTTATTTTAAAATATATGATATATAGGAACATGTATTATACAATAAAGTTTTAGTTAGAAATCGCCTACTATTATGAATCATTTTTCAAATGATGATGATTGATTTTTAATCATAAGTTCTTCTTCCAGAAGAGATATTACTGAATTTAAGACATCAATATCTCGTTGGCGATGTTTTTCAATACAATGTAAACTTTTCGGATCTATATCTGAAATACCGATGTTACAAACAAAGCTGAGTCCGTCCGGAAGTCGTATTACATTTTTATCGACGGTAGATGATATTGCATTTCTATATTAGAAAAAATATATATATATATATATATTTATATAAAATTATATATATATATATATATATAATTTT